CACTTATTTGTGCCCCATACATATTTTCTTCCTGGATCCGCCCCTCGAGTCAAGTTTTTGTTCTCAAATGGTACTAGAGCGACAATCATTATATTTGCTATTTTCAAAATATATTTGATAATATCACTAAAATCCTAAGCTTTTTAAAGATAAAAAAAATTTAAGCAAGTAACAGAAAAAAATGCAAACGTAATTGAAGAGACTTTCGGACCCTAAAGAGCAATATATATGTCTAATGAACTTAAAATATTATAAAGTTCAAAAGTTTAGAATAAAAAAATAGTATTTTGAGAAGAACATGAGTCTGGCCCCAGTTATAATTTAAATTTTAGCGAGGCACGGTAGAGAGAAATAAAAACAATCTGAAAAAACTAGCTAGGCCAAGAATTTGAGAATTACAACGGCAAGAGTGGTATGGTATGCGTGTAAAGGAACTTTTAACAATGGCACTTGCAGAGACCACTGCATGCAATTATGCCTTTCAGCAATATTATTACTTTTAAGGGTTACTTTTTCAGCATAGAAGATTTTCGAATTAAAATAGTTTTTGTGGCTTTGATATTAGTAGGTTATAGATGAAAACAAACACAAAATGAAAATAATATTTATGGCTTGATTGGTTGCGTCTGTAGCTTTGGATTTTTTGCTGTAGAATTTAAGCTGTAGATTTTTTTTTTGTGACTGTAGATTATAGTGCTGTAGATTTTTTTTATTGTATAAATAACTTCTTATAATATATCATAAATGTAGCATTAAAAATAAATAAAAGAGATATAGGAAAGAAACATTAAAAAAGGAATATAGAGAAGGAAATTAAGGAATGAGAAGAGAGAGAATTTTCAGAGCCCTTAAATTTGTGCTCTGGAAAATCTGCTCTGCAGAGCCAAAACATTTCCATATTTAAAATTATGGCTCTGAACTTAAAAAATGAAATCAAGCATGATTAGTTTAACACTAGTGCTCTAAAAATAATTATTGCTCTACAGAGCATTCAGAGGACTTACCAATCACGCCCTTAAGTAGAAATAAAAAAAGGTCCTACAACATAAGCCAAAAAACATAAGGAGTACTTATAATAAAAGAACATCATATTTATCATCTAAAAAGTCAGTCTCGTAAATTTATTTAAAATTAAAAAACTTGAACCAACAACTCAACAGATTCATGTTTGATCTACTCATTGCTAATCCGAATGCGTGTCCAATAGTACTCAAATGAGTCAAATTGGGATGGTTCGTATAAGAGATTGATACTTTTTATATCATAAAGTTTTATTCTTTAGTCATTGTATATTCATTGAATATCATTGCTGATATCTTAGATTATCATATTATATGATTCATATGAACAACAAATAATATTATAAGCCATGACTAAGCGATAATTAAACTGGATAAACAGAAACGAACAAAAAGGCATTGCATACAGCCAATTTGATGCTTCACGCCGAGCTTTCTCCATCTTTCCCAAGGCCAAATCATTTCTCTTTTTAATTTTTTTGGGTTAACCTTTCTTTCAAGTTTTCATGTTTAGTTATTAATTAGTTTTTCTTCATTCCACTACGTACCCATTTGTTCATTTCTTTGCTAACTTAATTTTAATGGAAAGAGACTTATCTTCTTTTTTAGACGTGTTTGAAAAATATTACCTTAAAACTTAAAAGTTGTAACTTTTATTAATTCTATTTTTGTTTTTTGGGGGAATGTGTATATGATGTAGTATATGCTTTTGGGAGCTTTGAGTGTAAGCCAAGTCTTTTTAACCTTTTTTCTTATTCTTCGTCGAAGCTTTTTGATGTGTTTTTGCACCCAATTATAATTCGAGAAAAAAGCTAAATAACTTTCTAATCAAAATAAAGAAACAATACGATATTATTTGACGTCATATATATAATATTCTTTTTGTAGGCTTTCAAATAGAAGTTCCAAAACCTAGATAAGACGAAGTAACTCATCGAACTACATGTATATTGATTGAGGACAAGATATACCAACGGCTAGGCTACGACTTCCAATTGTTTACTTTTCCCAAATTACTAACGAATCTTTCCATGACAAAACGCACCAAATGGAAACAAAAATAAATACTATATGATATAACAGGATCATCATACCAGTCTTATATTTGAACATGAATAATACCATGTCAAACTGGTATCGTTTTGAACCTTATTCGATGCTTTATAGGATGATTGTCAAAAGAGATATAATTGCTCATTGACACACGTAAGACTTGTATGAACGTAGCCATCGCGGAGAGAGAGAGAGATGACATTGATGATGATCACGATGATGGGGCCAAGGTAACAATGTTCCCCACTCGAGAATGTCGCCGGAAATTGCTCATACCATTCCACTTATCTACAGTATATAAATTCCAAAATCTTCTTACGTGTGTGTTTTTTTTTCCTGTTAATTATCCACAAGAATCTTAATAACTCTAGATCCGATTCAAGTTTTGTTTGTTCCAGCTGGATATGCTATAAACTAGGATATCATCTACATGTCAAATGTGTCCATGAACCTATCTAGGAAAGGCTTCTTAGGTTCAAGGCTAATGTTGAAGCTTATCCAACATGTGGTTGTGTGGGGGAGTGACAACCTAAGGTCTCATGGTATAAACTCGCAGAAACTCCGAATGATTCCTTTCTCGAACATGATGAGCCGGTAAAGCAAAGTGCCTTGCTCATCCATCGATTATTTAGTAGAGTTAGATCCGGATCACCGATGTAAACATACAAAAAAATAGAGATCATCATATTCTAGTGGAATAAAGCACATAAAACATTTGTTTTAAGAACCTTATTGTGTTACCATTTTTCTGAGTCATTTATCCAAAACAATACGAAGACATCACCTTAACAATTAATGTACAACATATCATCATGCCTAACTAGGTTTTCGTAGAGAACTTAATCATCATGCTTAGGTTTCCGTAGAGAATTCAATCATCACGCTTAAGCTTTGAGTTTATGTAAATTAACATAATATATATATTTGGAAAATAAGAAAGAAAAACCAGTAGTTGCTGGCAATGATCGCATATCAAAATTTGGATTGTGTGGATATTTTAATGAATAGCCATTTTTGTTGGGAACTGGAAATATAGCAAAAACAAATAAAAAGGAGGGTATGAGACAGACTCCATTTGGTCTGAAACTGAAAAAACAACTTTTGGCTTTATGGGTTGGCTAAAGGAGTGGGAATGGCCCATCCCCACCCTCTCACGTCTTGTCTCTTATATCCCTCTTTTCTGCTCGTTATCCCCATTTTTTACTGTTTTTCTTCGTAATAATTACAAACGGAAACACTAACTAAAATCCAAGCGTTTCCTTGTGTCTTCTTCTCTTGCTTTGTTGTTTTTGGCCTGCATTCAATTAACTAGTTTGCTTAAAGTTCATTCAAACTTTTGACTCTCCATCATAATTTGTATGCTAAACATGACGATCCAAACAAAACTAGCATGGCCTATGAGTTATGACCCATTTTTATATGATTGATAAAGAAAAAGCATTCCAAAAGGTTTACACTTTTCTATATGCACTAACTGTGTTTATACTAGGAATAAGTGTGGAGCGGATATTCATATATTTCTTGTGTGATACTGTATTTAGTGTTTCGTTTCACTTTGGATCAGCACATTATATATTCATAGTCAGTGTCTCAGTGTATATATCGGGAATATTCATATTTAAAAAAAAAATCTTAATTTTTGAAATTCAGTAGCTTAATGATATCAAGACCAAGATCCCCATACACCATTTATATAACCCTCATATACTTTTAAGGCTTATATCATGAAAAACAATTGTGTCTATTTTGAAAGGTCTTTTACCTTTATGTACTGGTGTATGTGCATATATATGGCATGAATGTCTGTGTTATGTTAATGGAAGATTAGATAGAGGGGCAGGTCAAAAGGAAAGGCTTTGAATTTTCAATGAAAAGTGTAAAGGTAACAAGTGTGGTTGTTTAGGGACAAAACTAAATTATTTGTTGTGGTGTGAATTGTTAAACCAAACCAAGGAGGGAACATGGCTATGTACCTATCCTTCCCTCTCTCATCTAAATTTTCATACCTTTTGTCTTCACTTTTTTTCCTTTTTCCTTCGCTTTTACTTAGCTATTGTCCCTTTCATTTTGGATTATTAATCCCCAAACCAAAGTTCAAAATTTATTTTTGTGAGAAATAAAAATTACTCAAAAGTGTTTATACATGGGTCGGTTCTTATACGTCAACCTTCATTATATATAAGAAAAGGATGAATAGTCAAAAGAAATACATTCATTTTAAAGAGATTTCCACTGTTTTGGGTTGCACCACCATACATTGATCTGCAATATGGTACCAATTTTTTGTTCGGTTTGAATAGTTTAGTTAGAGGAACTATAGTGCTAAGTTTGATTTCGATTTCATTTAGGATTTATGTGGATTCTCTTTGCTTCTGGGACAAGCTTCCAAAGAAGAAAGTGACAAACAATAAAAGACGTGTACATGTACATGTACACTACATATTCTGAATCTCTACAGTACAGTCTTTGGAGGGTTATGGACAAAACGAAATTACTCCCTGGCTGGAAACAGCAAAGGCAAAAAACAGAAGCATTATTACTTATGCTGCTAAAGATGTGACACTTTTAACACTTATCTTTCTCCACTGTTCTGTAACTTCTGTTACATTTTTCTGGGTTCTAAATGTTAACAAGACCAATAACAACCCAAAGGTTTGTCTTTCATATTCATGCATATTTTAAACAAAACTAAGAAGTTAGACCTTTAGGTGATTTGGCAAACCATTTGGATTAATTTGATACACTAAAAAGGAGATTATCATGAATTTTATAGTAAAACCAAAAGCAAAAAGGTTTTTGATCATAATCAAGGAACAAAGAGATGATGTAACTGTTTAATCGTTTCATGGTTTCATCCACATGAATCAATCCATAATACCACAGTTTTTGTGAACATCTCTTAAATGGGTTTTATGATATGTCAAATGATCATTTTTCCGCATTGTCCGATACCTGTAACAACACAAATCATAAACTCAAAATCCAGGTGGAATCTAAAGGAAGAGAAGTTATATATATGGCGATATCTTGTTTACTATTATACCTTACAAGATGACTTAGGGTAGAGGATATCGTAATGGCCTGGACGATAGAGCAAGGTTATAAAAGGAGCAGAAGCTTCTTCTTCTTTCTCATTAGTGCCCGTAGGAACAAAGTCATGATGGTTCACAGTGACACTTCCATTATCACATGAGCTACGGTCAAGGTACACAACCCGGATTGCTACACCAAGCGCGTCTGACAACGCTGTGATGTGAATATGGTCGCTCTCTTCTCCCATCGGCTCAACAGATGACTTGCAAAACTGTACCAAAACAGTGTTAGAGTTTTACATTCACCTATGCGCAAATAATCAAAAGCTTTCTACAGAATCTTTGAATCTGACAGAAACATCCACAGAAGTATAAAGAAGCTTTTATATATAACAAAGGGGCTTGAGTCCAAAAGCATGATAAGTGTTGTGTACAAACCTGATCCACTGTTGCGTTTGATAATCCTGTTATGAAGGGCTCGAAAAACTCTGCACGGGTTCGTATTTCACCAGCAGTAACAAACCTGAAGAACATTACAACTGAGACACCAGAAATTTGTCAAAACTACATTCGCTTGGATATGCGTCGTCATAAGAACTTTAGAGTGGCTTACTGTAATCGGAGACGGACTGATCTCTACTTCTATTTACCAGCTCTTCATAGCTGTAAGAGAAAGATATTCGCACAAGGAACCGTTATAAAGAGACCAATGCACACAAATACTGCAATCAAAACTCAAATGCCAATTACATAGCAGACTAGCTAAACAGTCCTTTACCTTATAGACTCGTCGCTTCCTTGGAGGATGTCGTCTAGTTGCTCAAGGAACAACTGTAACAATAAGAAAAACGAATTTGAGCATTTCTAGATGATCTTGCAAGATTTAAATGGCAGAAAGAGAAGAACACAAAACAAGGTGGTGGTAAATTTACCGCAAAGAAGTCCTCAAACGTAAAATCTGTATAACCTAAGTTTTGCAGAGTCTTTCTACACTTCTCAACATTGAGCTTGATACGATCGACTTCAGCACGATCTTGAGATTCCAAAATATGCTCCTACAGTACACATAAAGCATAAAACAACAACAACTTTAGCTAGAGATACAATCAAAGTCTAAGCAAAAAAGAGCACTGCTCGACATAGTTGGAGAATTTCTGAGAACATACAAGGTACGAGAACATAAAACTTCGGAAGAAGCAATTTCCATCTCCTCTTGTTCTCCTGATTGCAATATATTGATTGTCCAGTATCTACAGGTATGAAAGAACAAAAACATGATAATTTAGACTGCAAGCAGAGAGACGCGTAAAGAAAGGCAACCTTTATCTTCTCCAGCAAAATGGGACTCCCTGCTTGGTATTCTGCAGATAAACTAGAGAGAGGTTCCTGCACAGCAATGAGCCAAAAGCATCCATTTTTGTATGTGTATAAGAGTAAAAAGATTTCTCCTTGGTTAAGATTGTCCACAGAAATCAAACATTTTAGAAAATGAAACGAGGTCACATAGAAATTTCAAGCAGCTCATAGATAGTGATTTTGTGTTACCATACACAAACAGCTTCAATTCTAATCAAATGCAAGTCACTAATTCTTTCAACAGAGTACAGAGCAATTTCACTTTTTTTCATAGAGATTCCAATAAACAAACAAAAGCTTTTGATTTTGCTCTGACCTTATCACCAACATAAGGAACTTTGGCAGATTCTTCTTCTTGAAAAGAAGGTTCATCTTCCACAGAACAGCATCCCCATTCTTCACCTTTGAGTGCCGAAATGGATGCAGCGACTTCCGCTTCATCCTTCACCATATCATTTTGATTCTGCATCGCCACTACAGCAAAACTCTATCTCGCTCAGCTTGATCTAAAAACCAATTTGCAAATCAAAGAATTTAAAACCCAGGATTTGTCACAAAACAGTGTAATCAGCTGATCGTCAATAAAACAAAATTCAAAGATAATTCAATCTAGCAATAACAATCCACAAATCTGTCAAGATAAACGATAAACTCCGAATCAACATCACTCATACGCATATTCCAAATCCAGAAAAGAGAAACGGAGATTAACATTGAAAAAAATCAATGGCGGATGATAAAGAGAGGAGGGAACCGATTTACCTGAAACGAAGATCGAATTAAGGAATCAAGATATGATCTTCTTCCAACCTAATTTGAAGCGGTTGAGAAAACACTGAGCAACGAAAAGGAGGAGGAGAGAGTAAGGAAGGAAGCTTAGAAAAGATTTCTGGAATTGGGGAAACCAAAAACAAATTTTGATTGGAAGGGTGAAAAAGGTAACAGACGTTTCGCTTTTCCCCAAAGTACTGAATTCGATATTTATATTTATTTTTTTATTTGTTACTATAAAAAAAAAGAAAGGCAGAATCGTTTTTGGACCATAGAAAAACGACGTGCATGTGGCCTTCGCTATAATTGGAACGACAAAAGGTAGAGCTAAAAGCTGGGCCAGATATTTGGGCCCTTTTTATGGACCAAATCTGAATATGGACTTGCTTGCTTTGTTTTCTTGGCATGTGAAAGAAATCTTGGGGGTTTTAATGCGTGTTTAAGAAAGAAAGCATTAACTGATGAAGATTGTATATCTAAGAATTAACATGATTATGATATCAACTTCTGAAGCATAAATGTTTGAGATTATGAACTAACAAATGATAGTTTTTGTGGCAGATTTCGAGTGGGGAGGGTTCCTGTTGATTTAGGATATAAACAGAGTCGACCCTCACATTTGATCTAAAAATCGATTAGGATTTTTGAGAGTGGTAAAAGAAGCGATATTTATGAGAAATAATCATATGATCATAATGAAATAGGTGTTACGGCCAATTTTTGTATTTCAGACAATTTTTGTATATTTCAGACAATATTTCAGACAATTTTCGTATGTTTTGTGGGGTTGTTAGTCTGATGAGACAAGATTATAAGTTTGTGTAGTTTTAATCTGATGTTGAAAGTTCGGGAATATGAAGGTCTTGCCATTTTCTTCTCTTCCCAAAAAAAAAGAAATGGTTACGAGTGGCTAGGATCAAATTGTTGATTTGATTTAGTCGGAACTTTCAAAATTGAATGACTTATTTTTGACTTAGACAAGATTATGATAGTTTGTACAGTATAAACTCTATAAATTAATAATGTCGGGATTTTGATATTTTATTAATTTATAGAGTTATTAATTTAAGGATTTTTACTCAAAAAAATTAAAAAATAATGATAAAAAATTGTCATTTTTCATTTATATAAAATAAGAAATTTTCCTTTAAAGATAAATTTGCTTACATTTTTCCTTTTATATTTCTATATTTACTTCACATTTTTTCATACTTGGCATATTGATATAATTCCTTTAAATACGGTTATGCGTAAGAAGACAATTATCGTATCTAGAACTCTTCATAATTTTTTGATGCAGTCCAAAAATACAACACTGGAGTTCTTTTATGTAGTAAGAAATATTATAGACTAACTTCAAAAGGATTAAAACAAAAAGCATTACAATTATATTTTAGTAGGTTAACTTAGTTATATATATTTATAAATTTTTATATGATATTATTAATTTATGATATTATTGGGACCATAGTTTACATAGGAGTTTAAAAAAAGTTATTATCTTATTATCTTATCGAATTGTGTCATATTTTACACTGGCCCGACTCGGGACCGGAGGATTTTATTAATTTATCGAGTATTAATTTATAGAGTTTCTACTGTAGTTGTAGAGTTTTACAAACCAAAATTTAGTTTGTTTCGTTAGATGAAGAGTGCAAAGGTTTATATGGTTTCATTTCTATTAATGTTAAGAGTTGGTGTGTCTATTTTTTACCATACGGAAGAAACAGTCCTTTGTGTCACTAGTTAAAGACTCACGAGAAAGTCTAGAGTCCGGAAAGTCCTTTTGGCTAACTTTTTACATTAACTATGGCAAAGGCAAATGCTAAGCTCAGCAAATTAAATAGAGTAATATATGTCATAAATATAGTTCTGTCTAATTGTGTAATGTAATTCATTTATGGTTTTGAGATGTTAAAAGGCCAACCGAAACAACATGTTCTATTACATGCATCTCGTCAACCAAATTATATTTCTTTCACATGCACCCTAATTCTAGATTACTACTCGTACTACTTTATAATTATTTGTGTCTCGTAAGAAGACAACGTAATAATACGATTTTAATATTAAGGGGAAAACTATTATTTTTACATTTCTTTCTTTTATTTTCCATGATGGAGCGCATGGGAGAACGACTAAAAAACCTTAAACTTATGCCACATTTTCTTTAAAACATTGCCCCAACTAATAATTGGTCACTACGCCGTAAGGAAAATTATTGGTTTATGCATTAATGCTACAATTTTTAAACTCTACTTGTCGGAACTTTGTTTGACCCGATTAGATAAGTGTAGTGTTTGAACCACTTGGATCAAGTGTCATACAAAGAAAATAAAAGATTTAGTGTTCGATTAATCCGGAGGTTCGTACATTTATTTATTTATTTTTATTATTTAAACATTGTATATTACTATATTCAAGCGAGAGCATGTTGTTAATTATAACGAGTAGGACATAAATCAACAAACTGTTTGCAACTAAAGTGTGGATCAAATAACAGTTGATAGTTTTGAAGAGCTTGTACAAGCAGTGGTGCTTTATGCTATTCCATCTTCTAAACGACATTGGGTTGTTGTATAAACACTTTGCCATAGATTAAAACTTTAAATCATCCTTTTTTTTCGCTCCTATATCCTCTCCTCATTTCAAGAGTACATGTGCCCTCGTAGAGACACTTGCTTTTGCATTTTACTCTATGTTAATCTTCTGAGCAATAAAAGACCTCCAAAGACCAAATCTAAGCAAATCCCTGAACAAATGTCCTAATTAACAATTTAATAGTGTACTCTTTTCGCTCTCAACGCGTTTACCAAAAACCAAACACCTCTTTACACCAAACTAGTCCAATATACTTTGGGATCGGTGATGTGCTTATTGCTATTAATTAGTATAATTGTTTCTTATAATTTTAACTTATACTATAAACGATCATAGTCTCTTCAATTCCAAGCAACGTATACCACTTTGTTAATGTGGTACACCGTCAATTTAAGTTGCCTACTCAATAGAAACTCACTTTACATATATATATATATATATATATATATATATGTGTGTGTGACATTGTTCTTGATAGTGTTAATCTGAACTTTAACTTGATATTTAAGTAAGAGAGAAAGTATTAACGCGATTGATAGGTTAAGTTTTACCCTATATTATCACTGCAAGTGCACAGTAAATCAATGTAGTATAAAGGGTTTATCGAATCCAAACGTCTATCAGTTGCACAACGAATTTCCAGATTCAAATCAGGCTAAGTAAGATATGAGTAATGTAAAACAAATAAAAGAAAACAAAGTAGCAGGTGATTGATTAACGAGTTAAATTCAATGAGACAAAGGTTAGGCCTTGGGAAATTCGCAGGTTGAATCCGAATTGCAGAGTAAACTATCAGGATATTAATGAAGAACCATTCTAGAACTCAAATCACAATTGTAAAACCAATCAACTTTCGTTGCAGAGATTATCTATGTCTAAACTTAGAATCCCAAATTTCTTTGCAAATTCAACAATTCAAACAAGCATTAATGATCAGGTTTGATAAGTTCACAAAATCTCTAAACCAAATTCCTTTGCAGATAGATATTTTGCTCATCTAAGATAGTTCAGGAAATCAATAACACTTTCGTGTCTACCAATTAACCTAAGATCAGATTCTAGGTCGCGAAGCTAGAATAAGCAATAAACACAATCCAGATGAAGAACTCTAATGATTATCCTAAGCAATTGCAATTCTTCTTCAACCTTTGAAAAACCCTAAACCTAACAAGGAATCTACTCAGACATGGTGATTGAGACAAACATCATGAATAAATAGATTGCATAAAAGAAATAAGAATAGAGATAAAGGAGTTCAAAATCTTCTCTGAAGGAGTTTGATCTATCTCTCCAAAGCTCTGCTACAAATCTCTCTCTAAGTCTCAATAGAATAAAAGTATGAAAAGTATTAGCCTAACAATGGCTTTAAAAACCTAAAAACTGTCTAAAACACGAATTGGGCCTTCTTGTAAATAAGTGGAACTTCTGGGCCAAAGTGCAGATCTTCAAAAGTCTTTAAAATCGTGCTTCTGGGAAAAGTTGCGTCGACCGACACAGATGAATTGCGTCGGTCGACGCAAGACTCTGAAATCGTCTGTTTGTCTTGTTTTCCAGCAGCTTCCCCAAATATGCTCCAAATAGCTCCAAAATCTCCAATTGTGCTCCAAAACATGCTTAGACCTGAATAGACTCAAAAAGACTCCAAAAACACTAAAAAGACTCTATATACAAGACTTATATCATGGCAAAAACCCATAAAAACCATGATATATCAGCAATCCGAACCAGACCATGAAGCCTTCTTCGTATTTGTATCACCCGTCTTCCTTATAATTGATAGCTTGTTTCGTCGATGCTTTGCGCCAAAAGGTTAGTACTGATATGCTTTGTCACTTTAAATTTTGTTAAACTACCCTTTAAAGGTGAGCTCTTATAGATACACGACATATTAGAATAATGAGGTGGAGTCTTCAAGATCTAAGGTATTAATTTACATATAAGTATATAAATTAACCTAAATAAGTTACAACAAATTAAACTGCATCCATTTTTCCATTCAAGATGCCTAATTTATTGGAAAAAACTTGTCTTAAAACATTTATATAAGGACTGAGAGTTAAGATACTCCGGCACGTAATTAACTTGACAACTCATTGG